GCTTTTACTTTATTCCTTTGAGGAATAGAAGTCAAGATTACCTGCTTTGAAACAGGAGGATGCAGGATTAAAGACAGAAGAGAAAATAGGGAAAGGCACAGTAGAAAAGAGTGAATCGAAGGGACAAAACAGTTAGGACTGTGGTGTCAGTGCTGAGTACCCCCACTTGAAATAGGCAGCTTTGCATCGGCAGCGGTGGCCCTCTATTTCCACGTGATGTGTTCTGAGACCGGCCACTCAAGGGAAGTTTTGTTATAGAGTAGATCCTAATTCCCATGTAGATAAGTTGAGGGAATTTTCAGTGAAATTGTTAGACAAACCTTCTAAGAGCCATTGAGAGGCCAAGTTTTCCTCTGTCCAAAGAGATGATTGTAGCTATGACATCTCTCATCTATCTCATAGCACAGTAGTAATTTTCAACTTTTATCAGCTGCTAAGACCCGTCAACCCTGCTCCTGGGACTTGTCTTTCTCTCTTCTGGATCCTTCCTTACACACTGTTAGATACAGTCAAGAGAAGAGAAAACTTGGGACTTATGGCATAGGAAAACATTGTGTCTCCAGACGGAGAAGCTGTGGAACCAGAACTCCAGCACGTTAGAATAACTGAGACGGTGTGAAGGTCCAGTGATCTCATCACAAGAAATATCTTAAATAAATTCAATGTCATCATTACTACAAAGCACAAAAGAGCTCTCCTTGGTTCATGATTAAGCAATAGTGTTCATTTGCAATCCACGGAAACTTAATAAAGCAATTGGGCAACAACACACACAAATTTCTTATCTTATTAGAGCAAGCATATGTTTTTCTTTCTTAAGTGATGATAATGTGTTAAGTCCATCTTTTTTTTTTTTTTTCAACGTTTATTTATTTTTGGGACAGAGAGAGACAGAGCATGAACGGGGGAGGAGCAGAGAGAGAAAGGGAGACACAGAATCGGAAACAGGCTCCAGGCTCTGAGCCATCAGCCCAGAGCCTGATGCAGGGCTCGAACTCATGGACCGCGAGATCGTGACCTGGCTGAAGTCAGACGCTTAACCGACTGTGCCACCCAGGCACCCCAAGTCCATCTTAATAGAGCCTCAAGTTCTTACTTAGAGTGTTTAGCATCCCATCGACATAATAAGCAAGGCATTCTGCTTCCGATCTTGTCAACCTACCAAAAGTATGTTTTCTATTCATTTTCCCAGACACCATAGAATATTGCTGAACAGCTGGAAATAGAAAACTGTAGAGTTTAATTTGAAATTCTTTTACTTTTTATTTTTTTAATGTTTATTTATTTTTGAGAGAGAGAGAGAGAGAGAGAGAGAGAGAGAGAGAGAGAATATGAACAGGGGAGTGACAGAGAGAAACAGAATCCCAAGCAGGCTTCAGGCTCTGAGCTGTCAGCACAGAGCCCAATGTGGGGCTTGAACTCCTGAACTGTGAGATCATGACCTGAGCTGAAGTCAGCTGCTTAACTGACAGAGCCACCCAGGCACCCCTGAAATTCTTTTACATAGTTCTACCGGGTAGGTACAGTACCAATGCCTGTTTATTTTAAAGACACACTTATACTTAGATTTTTCCTACATTCCTGACCTTTGTTTTACCCTTGTGCTTTTTTTTTTTCCTACTCAACACCAACCTAAATATGGCATATATCCTGTTATTCTCACATAGCACATATTTATTCTCATTTACATTTTGGAGTTATACTGTGAATATACATAATCCTTGCTGGTCCTTTTTTTTTAAATTTTTATTTTTTAATTTTTAAAAATTTTTTTCCTTGCTGGTCCTTTTGCAAGGAATGAAGTTGCTGGGATTTGTGGCTAAATTCCAGGTTTTAATCTTTAAAAATCCCAGACTTTAAGTAGGAATGCATTGTTTTCCAAAATAAAGTATTTCCTAATCATAACAAAGACTTTGCAGTTGGAAATAGGGACTTGCTGAAGCTCATTAATTTTTCTCTTACTGTCTTTTTCTCAGGCACTTGTCAAAAAGTAGTTTTGAACTTAAATTGAAAGTTAAACAAAACACAATTGAATTAAACCTACAATAATTCAAGCCTTTCTGTAAGGAACAAGGCTAAACTTCTAAACTTTCTTTTTCTCTTTAAATATTCATAGAGAAATCTATTTGTTGAAAATCACCCTAAATGTTTTGAGTTAGGAGACACAGCTAGACTCATTGACTGAAAGTATTTGCATAATTGTTTAAATTTGGGTGCTTTAGAGCTTACCTCATCAAAGACTTGTTTACCAAATAGTAAATTTAATGAGGTTTCCACTGAAAATGCACAGTCCCAATGGATCATAATAGTATAATATTCAAACAAAGACCGCACACTTTAAAATACAGGCCTTTGTAATCAAAGTGCTATAGTGTAACGAACCTGGGATTTTCTAGATGCTTTACTGCTTCTTGAAAGTGATGAAATCTTGATGGAGGAGGACCTTAAAGCAAATATAATCAATATAAATATAGGCACCCAGACACTTTGACAGGAAGACAGAATTTTTTCAGTAGTGCACGATCATCACTCAAAGCCATTGTTATTGTAGCCTAGCCTTTTTCAAGGACATGATTACTACCTTTTGCAAACTCTTCAACCTAGCACTCAAAGCCTCCCAACCAAGTTTCTTCCTCCGGGAACCTTCTTTTCCTTTACACTTCTTAGGGGCCCCCTCATAACATCAAAACAATGTGCAGCTTTCCCCTACGCAGAACCTGATCTTTCTTTCCTCCACATCTTAGAATATGCATCCCTTTTGCTCCTGTTATTTGTGCTAAGTTCATGTTGCCTTTCTCAACTGGATATATATAAATATATACATATATTTTTTTCTAAAAAACATATATATATTTTTTTCTAAAAAACAACAAAAAAACAACTTTCGTAATGAATTCCATGTGGCTCTTCAAACCTCTACTTACCTTAGCTTCCCTTTGTGGGAAATCAGGATTCATAAGTTGTGTTGCTATTTTTATCTTTAAGATTTCAAACCAATTCATTTAGATTCACTCTATGTTGTGAATCACGCTAACGCTACTTTTTCTAGTGGATTTGTTGTCATGATTAAACAAGTTGATGCGTAGAAAGTATTTAGAACAGAACTGGCACATCGTAAGGTCTTAGTAATATTACAAGAAAGCAAATACTTGTATTTTCTGTATACAGTAAGTGGCTGAAACTTTTCCAGGCCTTTGCTTGTGCTCAATTCACACTAAATAATGCTTCTTTCAGGAGTGACTTATAGAATTTCTCTAGACGATAGAGAATATTGAAAGTTATGCCCCTTATTAGAATGTCTTAAGTTGCAAGAATGATTTCTTTTCATTCTTGGGCTATTTGAATTTTCATATCTTTTCAGATATTAGATGATGTTAAGTTGGTGGTGGTTGTTAATTGTAGCACAAATAGTAGTTAAGGATGTAACTCATTGTTGGCACTTACCACAGTGCTTGACGTGCAGGGAGTGTTCAATAAATGTTGTTATTATTGTTGTTTTTGTTATACTTTTGTCTTTTTTTTTTTTTTTTAAAGAGGCTCCATGCCCTACATGGGGCTTCAACTCATGACCCTGAAATCAGGAGTTTCATGCTCTACTCAGTACAGTAGGCACATTGTACCAGGCATCCCTCTTTTTTGTTGTATTTTGAGTGCTCAGGGTTTCTCTATCCTTTCTGGTCTCCTGAATGCCATGATTAAATTGCATTAAAAAAATGTCCAAAATGCCTTTTAAAATATTTCAAGAGATAATTCATTAATTAAAAAACAAGTCAGTGATTCTGCGTGCGTGGGTGGCCCAGTCCCTTAAGTGTCTGACTTGATTTCAGCTCAGATTATGAACTCATGGTCGTGGCATTGAGCCTCATTGGGCTCCGTGCTGAGCGCAGAGGCCGCTTGGTACTCTCTCTCTGTCCCTCTTCCCCACACACCTCTGCTCTCTCCCTCTCTAAAATAAATAAGTAAACTTAAAAAAAAAAGTCGGTAATATCTTAGAGATTATTGTGCCCACATCACTTAAAATTTGTACATTTGTGACACCGTGATTTTTGAGATGATCTTTTTAAATTGGGAAAGCTGACTGCCAAGTATCTTACCAGATATCTTCATTAAAAGAAACCTTTTTAGCACACCTGAAAATCTTCAGAATCAATTCTGTAAGTACTTAAAGACCAACTACCAGAGGCTCAGTATTGTACTGTGTGTTAATTTGCAAATATGATTTGTAAAATACTAAAATCCAAATAAGAATTCTGAAGTTTCACCAGCTGCCACTTTAGATTACTTTAAATCCTATTTAAAAAATGCAACTTTGTTCTAAGGGGAATGTCTTTAGTAAGAACATTTCCTTTTTAATTTTCCACAGATATCTTACTTACCCTTTAAAAAAGGCAGCTTCAACAAAGGCAAGGTCTTTCATTGTGTGCTTATTGAAAGTTAAAAAAAAAAAAAAAACAAGTTTAAAAAACAAGCAATTGGGGCCAAAAGAGGTTTTCAAAGATATTCTCACTGAATTTCTTTCATTTGGGAAATTCATAAATTCTTCCTCATACCCAAACATTAGCAATAATTTGCCTTTAAGTTTTATTTTTAAAATAATATAACAAATCATGAAATGTTTTATTATTGTTTTTGGATACAAGACCATTTCCAAAGACTTCAGTTTTGAGATACGCTTCTTGCAAAAATAGACCTTCACTTTCTTGAGGGCTAACCTCGGTATTTTTGTCCGCATAACATTGCGTTAGAATGAGATTAAGAGTGCTGATCTAGAATATTTTGTCGACACATGCTGGCAGTCTCATAATATTTAATTTTGGATTGCAATTTGCATCTCTCACGTGGCTCCACGTTTCACCAAGGTTTGAATCAGCTGACGGGTGTCAGGCTTGAATTTGAAGCGGGTAATTTGAGACAGCGTTCCTAGGAGTTACAGGGAAACACGAAACTCAGTAACGAACACGGGGCGTGGGGGTGGGGGTGGGGTTAACTTCCGAGGCTCCGCACCGGTTCCCAACTGATCGGGAAGAAGACACGAAGGGGGTGGAACTTCCTGACCTGACGCTGGCGCCTCTGTCGCTAGGGACGCTTCGGCTAAGGCAACAAGATGGACCAGGAAGAGAGGCTGACGGCCGTGGACAACATAGTCACTCAGTTCAACACCTATGAAGATTTCCTCGACTCGCAGATCACTTCCGTGGACCTGTACTACCTGGAGGTAAGAACTGCGGCACCGCAGAGTGGACCCCGTTTTCCTCTTAGTCCTTCCCGATCCCCCATTCATGGAGTGGTCGCCCCCTGGCGGTGGACTCCAGCGACGTCAGGCGCCGCAGTATCCCGACGGCGGCGCCAGAGGGGCGGGGAGCAGAATCACCGGGTCCTGAACCCGCCCCGGACGGCCTCAGTCCGGCCAGAATTCGGGTCCCTGGAGGTGGCGGCCCGTGTGGAAACATGCGGGTGCGCCCGCACGCCCGCAGGAGTCTTCAAAATCTGTCTTTCCCTCTCACATGAGGCCTCCCGGCCCATTCTTTCCAAAGTCATTGCCTGCGAGGAGGTGGCTGGATGCGGAGACCTGCGGAGACCCTTGCGCCGGGCTGTAATGCAGGTCTGGCACGATGTTTCTCTTTGCTTTGCCACTTTGTATTAAAGAACAGAAGAGAGTAGCCTTCCAGGGCAAGTGGCGACACCAACCTGGTGTATCTGGTGTCATATAGGGCATCTGGGCCCATAAACCTCCACCCCACTCTCGTACCCTTAATTATGGGTAGGCACTACAGGAATATGTAGGCATATTCCTGATTGATGTTTATCGAGCTGCGAATCACAACTAATATTGAGAGTAAAAAAAAAAAAAAGATCCTGCTATACTGCAAAGTTAGACGTCATGGGGTTGGCCACTGTCTTCCACTCAGCAACCATCTTCCTCCCCTCGTCTTTCCAGGTGTGTGTTTGATGGGGTGGGGGAGATGATGGAGTGGGGGCGGCAGAGAGTTCTTGTCTTCTGGGAGGCGAACCAGGATGGGCTGGAAAATAACAGGCTGAGAGGTCCTGAGAGGCAGGAGGTGAACGGTGGATCCCTATAGCCCTGGGATCTTGCCAGACCAGGCCGACTAAAGGCGCACTGCCCTGGAGACTCTGCTGGCGGGGAGCCAAGACTCAGCCCCAGAATGCCTCCTTCCTATTTAGGCCAGGCAGAACAGGCGCCACTGGGTGGTGCCAAACCACAGCCGAATCTTTGAAGGGTTTGCATCTAGTAGCCAACTCCCCAAACCCCGTGTCTGCAACAGCATAATTCTGCATTGTGGTGGATTTTTGGGCTCCAGAGATCATGTTAGCAAGATTTTTCTTACATGCTTACTTAAATATTGATTGCAAGGTTTGAAAAGTGCTTATTCTTTGAAATGCATTCATGTGCTAGATATGAACGTTAATTCTACATAGCTAAGGCAGAGGTACACGCTATACGTAGCATATACGCTTGGCAGTATTTAACCCAAGAATAAATGAGAGAACTGTTCTCCAAAGAAAGTGAAATACATGTCTAATAAGGGGACCTGGAGGGAGTAAAGGGGCCTGAGAGATAATCAGAACTGAGCTCGGAGTAACTAAATAGTGCTAGAAGTTCAGACTAGGTGCTGAAGAGAAAAATAGAATCTGTTGTCAAGACCTTCTTTTTTTAGGTTTATTTATTGATTTATTTTGGGGGGGAGGGACAGAGAGAGAGAGAGAGAGAGAGAGAGAGAGAGAGAGGTGGGGGAGAGAGAATCTCAAGCTGGCTCCTCACTGTCAGTGCAGAGCCCAATGCAGTGTTCGATCTCGCAAACCAATCTTGCAAACCTTGAGATCAGGACTTGAGCCAAAATCAAGAGTAGGATGCCTAATTGACTGAGCCACCCAGGTGCCCCTTGCCAAGCCCTTCTTATTTCAGCAGTTAGGTTGGAGAGGGTGGGATATAACCCACCTTTGCTTCCTTCTTCATGCCCACATATCTTCAAGTGGAGTCTCTTTTACACATAACTGCCGCAGCTCACCTATTCCAAGGTGAGTCCAATTAGGGAACTAGGTCTGTACAACTAGAGGGAATCCACACTTATGTCCATATCAGTTAATGTAGTCCTCTGTTCATGTGTGTCTACAGATGTTTGAGCAAACCTAATAGCACGAAATAGATAGCCCAAGGTGAGTAAGGAGGGTAACTAATGTCAAACAAAACACTTAAAACCCAGAGAGAACTTTAAATAAATTCTAATTTTCTATCTCAGAGGCATTTTAATATCTATCAAATCTATAAGCAAACTAATAGACTGCTATGAAAAGGGAGCAGAGAGCAAGAAAGAATTCTTAGAATTTAAAAATATAATTGATAACATTTTTGAAAGGGCTAACTAATAGAATAAACACTTTTTAAAGGACAAATTAATTATCTGGAAGTTAAAGGTGATATAGTTACCCAGAATATAGTAAAAAAAAAAAAAAAAGAGGAAAATAAGAAAGAATTCTATGAAAGAAAATATGAAAGAATAGTTTTATGATGCTCAGTATCTATCTAATAAACTTACCAGAAAGAAATTATACAGAAAATGAAGGTGATAATCAATTGAATAATGAAAAAATTTTTCTGTGTTGCAGATAAGCATATTAGCTGTTAAGCAGGATAAATGAAAAAGATTCATCCCTAGGTAGATAGTGGTAGAATTTTATAATTCTGAGAATAAAATGGTAATTCAAAAATAATTCAAATTGGCTTGTATGACATCAAAATTAAAAACTTTTGTGCACCAAAGTACACTATCAATAGAGTGAAAAGGCAACCCATAGAATGGGAGGAAATATTTGCAGATTATATATCTAATAAGGGGTTAATATCTAGAAAATGTGGCGTGTGCGCACACACACACACACACACACACACACACACAGGAGTATTACACAGCCATGAAAAAGGATGAGATTGTGCCATTTGTAACAACATGGATGGACCTAGAGGGTATTATGCTAAGTGAAAAAAGTCATACTGAGAAAGACCAATAACATGATTCTACTCATAAGTAGAATTTTTAAAAAAAGTGAACAAAAAGCAGAATCAGACAGATAAATACAGAGAATAAACTGATGGTTGCCAGAGGGAAGGGGGATGGGGGGTGAGTAGAATGGGTGAAAGAGTGGGAGATACAGGCTTCCAGTTATGGAATAAGTCATGTGAGAATACAAGGCACAGCATAAGGAATATAATCAATGATATTATCATGGTATAATGGGGTAGATGCAATGGGACACACTTGTGGTGAACATAGCATAATGTATAAACTTGTAAAATCATTAAGTTGTACACCTGAAACTAATGTAACATTGTCAACTAAAAGAACGCACCCCACAATGATATACCATTTCACCTCTTTTAGGATAGCCATTTAAAAAACCCAGAAAATAGGGCATCTGGGTGGCTCAGTTGGTTAAGCGTCCGATTCCTGATTTCCACTCAGGTCATGATCTCGCAGTTTGTGAGTTTGAGCCCTGCATCGGGCTCCGCACTGACAGTGCAGAGCCTGCTTGGGATTTTCTCTCTCCCTCTCTCTGTGTCCCTCCCCCTGCTCGTGCTCCACCCCCCCCCCGCCCCTCTCAAAATAGATAAATAAGACTTAAAAAAATATATAAAAAACCCAGAAAGTAATGTGTTAGCAAGGATATGGAGAAACTGGAACTCTGCACCACTGGTGGCAGTGTAAAATGGTGCACTTATTGTAGAGACAGTATGGCAGCTCCTCAAAAAATTGAAGTTAGAATTACTATATGATCTAGTAAGTTCACTCGTGGGTATACAGCCAAAAGAATTGAGAGCAGAGACTAGAACAGATATTTATATACCTATGTTTTTTTTGTTTGTTTTTTTAAATGTTTATTTACTTTTGAGAGAGAGACAGAGGCGTGAGCAGGGGAGGGGCAGAAAGAGGGAACACAGAATCCGAAGCAGGCTCCAAGCTCCCAGCTATCAGCACAGAGCCCGACATGGGGCTCGAACCACCAGACCGTGAGATCATGACCTGAGCCGAAGTCGGACACCCAACCGACTGAGCCACCCAGGCACCCCTGTATACTTATGTTTATGGCAGCATTATTCACAATAACCAGAAGGTGGAAGCAACTCAAGTATCTATTGATGGATCAATACATAAACAAAATGTGCTACATCTACAATGAAATATCATTCAACCTTTAAAAGGAAGGAAATTCTGACACATGCTACAACATAGTTGAACCTTGAGGACATTATCCTGAGTGAAATAATCTAGCCACAAGAAGACAAATACTGTGTCATTGCACTTTTATGGGGTACCTAGGGTAGTCAGATTCACAGAGACAGAAAGTAGAAAGGTCATTGCCAGGTCTGCAGGAAAGGGAGAATGGGAGTTATTGTTTAACTGGTACAGAGTTTCAGTTTTGTAAGATGAAAGAGTTCTGGTGATGATGGGGATGATGATGGCACAACAGTATGAATGTACTTAATGCCACTGGACTATATACTTAGAATGGTTAATTTTGTATTTTGTATATTTTATACAAATTGAAAAAATAATTCAGAGTGTCTACAGAGTACCTATAAATCAGCTTGATCTTAGACTTTGCATTCCCAATAGCGATTCCTAAAGGGAAAAAGGAGTAAATATCTTTAAGCTTCTAAAAAATTTTATTTTGGACCTAGAATTCTTTCCCTGGCTGTGTTAGATATTTTCCGTTTGGCCCTTGAGATCGACATGCTGTCATACCCTACCTTGTTCTGTGCCCCAAAGAGATTGATTTCTGTTGCCTGTTTCAACTGGGCCCCCTTTCCCTTTGGCCAATTGGGTTTAGCCAATAAGAGGCACCAGCAAGAAATTAGAAGCCAGCAGAAGAGAGAGGTTAGGCATCCCCCCCACCCCCACCCCCGGACTCCTTCCATATTGTGCTGTAGGTTAGGAGTGGATATTTTCTTACAAAAAGCCACAATTTAGTTTTGGGCCCTACCCCTACGGCTGTTTCCCTGGGCTCTATTAACTGTTCCCTCCTCTTACCTTATTGGACTAGTTAGTTAGTGGCCGTTAATAGCTTATTGCTGTTGCTAGCTGCAGGGTGCTTCATTATCTCTCTAGGATTTCTCTTAACCCGGTCTATACCTTTGTTAATTAACTCAGCCACTCAATTTCCTTCAATTACTACATTTAAATGTGTCATCTGTTTCCT